GAGAATACCAACGTCAAATAGTAGCTTACTGCTGCTGTGTTTCGTAGGGTGAGTGTAGAGAACCGGAGACTCTTTTAACTGGAAACGAGGCATTCCATCTTAGTCCGCACGTCTTGTAATCGATACATGTATCATGTAGATGTCTATGAGCCGCAGCAACCACTTACCATCAGGTGGACTGTTTGCTCGTTTGTCACCATATTATATAAAAAAAATAATATTATAAACAAAACTTCACTGTCATGCGAGGTAATTAAGTGACATGAATATTACGTGTTTTCCGGTATGGATAAGATAATAAACGAATTTTATGTTATCACTAAAAGAGCTTATGTTTGTAAATTGAATTTATATATTCAGTAAACAGCAAAGCCATCTTTCTTTTTTTGTCAGATGATGAGATCAAGCTTATATATAGCTTGAACTTGTATAATAAATATAAAAAAATTGGTCATGAAGGTCATTGCGAACTACAATATATTAAATTTCTAAGTGTAATAAATTATTGAGGATTCGTTGCCAAAGAATCAAAATTTTCTCGGTATTTATTAACTTCTAATTTTTCAAACAGCCTAGATTTTATATTTAAAAAATTGTTTTAAATTGCCACAAAAATTCAGATTGCCCGTATTTATACGCTCTCCAGGCTTACAGAAATATTAATATAATTTGTAGTCGCTTCTTAGTAAGTAATTTTTAGTGTATAGTCAGAAGAATGTTAGTTTGGGTGCTAATATATACACATAAGCGGACGTGCCCGCTACCACATGCACACATACATGCACATTCACATGCGCACGCACACGCACACTACACGCACATGCACACGTACATGCTCATGTTAGAGGACTTTATGGTTTGTTTTAATATTTATTTATACTCTTTACCTCACACCTCACAAAAAGTAACATGCTCTATACTAAATTATCGCTATATCGTAATCTCTTCCAGGTTTTTTTATAAAATCAGATGACTAACGAACTCACTTTGTCAAACCGTCTGCCGCGAGTAACAATAACGACAAATATAAAATAATTTTTTGGGAGAGTCACATCAGAGGTCTTCTGATATACTGTAATTATTTAATTAACTATATAATTTTATGCTTTACCACAAAAGGAGACATGAAAATATTTTGACTTACGATTCTAAACATGTATTCGTAAAGTAATGAGTTTTGTGTCAATAGTATTGAACAGAAAATAAAATAAATATCTTATACTAATAGTCAAAATGTTTACAAGGTATTACCAGTACACTAAGGATTATATATATATATAATATTATAATATATATATAATATGGGCAGCGATACCTAGTCAGTTATCATCAAGTGATCGGTCGCGTGCTCAGTGATTACAGTATGGTAAGTGTACTGTACTAAGAGGATTGGAGAGCCTTTTTACTGTAAACGAGGCATACCATCTTATTCCTCATGGCTGACAGCGCATCTGCATTTTGATTCTTAATCGAGGATAGAAGTAAATGTGTATGGGCCATAGCATCAACTTTTATCAGGTGGACTGTAAGCTAATTTTTCACCTTTATTCTTTCAAAAAAGTTTTATCGTGCGTATCGTATTGGCATTATTTTAACCAATTTTACAATAGTTTTGGCAAAATTCCACCTCTACTTATGAAAAATATGTTTTAAAGTTTTTGTTTAAATGATATTACATTCGTTGTGATATTACTGCCATAAGGATTAAACTTTGTTCATAAAATATAAAAGCTCAAAGAACTATAAGAATAGTTGCGTAGTATTGCTTTTCATCTTTATTATTAACTCGCCATCCTCCTGAATTTCGGGCAGGCGATTTCTGGATCTCGACAACAGCGCCAGCTATCGGGTTCAATTACCATAATATTCTATCATATTATGTACTCAAACACACACAAAAATTTTCATCAGAATCGGTCAAGCCAGTTTTGGTTTCAGCGCGAGACTAAGTGTGAGCGTGACCACAGTGAATGCGCAGTGTCTACGGCCTGTTTTGGGCGCGACGGCGGGGCCGTACAATGGCCACAGTGTCGAGCGAGTTGTTGGAGTTCTTAGGCCGTATTTCAGGTGCTGCAAACCATGGGTGAGGATTTTGTATTTTTATTAGAAAGTCCAATCCTGAGATGGGATATATTGAACATAAGAGATTTTATTTATTCCGTGCACACCCTACACGAAATAAATGAAAACAAAGAAATAAATAGTGATTTTTTACTTTGTTTGAAGAACTGATATTGTACCCTAGATTTTTTTTTGAGTAAACTCTAATGTCCGCTTACACTGAACGTCAAGACCGACCTGGTTTGATACCCTCGCCATCCACGCATTGGGTCATATCTTGCTTAATCCCGTCGCGCTAAGCGGTTTCATATGTTTGATACGTCGCGTCCGTCGTCGCAGCCGCACTAGCTCGCACTGTGGGCGCACGCTAACGGACAGAAATTATTATTATATATAGAGATATAGTAAATGTTAAACACATAAACAAAATGGGTAAGTCGCATAAGTTAAATCATCGGCTTCTTCTTGTTTCTGTAATGGCAAGGATGTTCCCGTCGCGCTGACATGCCGCTTTCCTCACAACAAAAACAAAAAATACTTAAAGGGAAAATAACCATTCAACCATCATACACACATTCACACAGCCTATAAAAGTCTTCTGCTGAATATGTTTAGCAGTGGCCTCGCCCTTATGTTGTCTCATGGGGGAGATTACGTCATAGTTGCCAAGCGGGGTAGCAACAGATATTTTTTAATAATTTTTATTCATAGTCATAGTCATTTATTCCATAGAACAATATTACATTGTATTGGAAAATTAATTACACAAAATCAAAAATTACGTTTACATGCAATTGACTTAAATAAAACTAAAATCGAATAAAATTTAAATATCATTTGACGATCATTCTATATACCTACTTATATACATTTAATACTTTTCATGTCATAATTAAATATTTTTAATGTCATAATAGATTAAAATATAGTATATAAACAAAAAAAAATTAACATTCGTTAAGTTTATTTTTGTCATTTAGATATTCGTCAACTGAGTAGTAGCTTTTCTTAATTAATAATGATTTGAGTTTATTTCGGAATTTTCGGTGGCAATAAATAACTTTAAATGAGATAGATAAAGAATTAAATAGTGCAATGGCTTGATGCCTTGTGCTGTGGCGTACAACATTCAATGTTGGTGTAATTGACGTTTTTAAATCTTTTCGACGTGTCATTTCTCTCTTTTTCCATTCTTCGTTTGTTTCATATTTGTAAAAAAATTTTATTAAGTATGTAAGTCAAACTAAGACATACAGAGAGGGAACCGTAAGTATGCCAAGTTTTCGAAAATGTTCTTTACGCGACTCAATTTGTGAAATACGTAACATGGTGCGGATCGCTCTTTTTTGTAATACAAACGCTGTCTTAATATTATATTTATAACTGTTGCCCCAGAATTGTATGCTATAACGAAGTTGTGATTCTACTAGAGAAAAATAAACTAACTTAAGCTGCTATAACGTAACTTCTTCTCGTAAACTTCTTAAGGTGTAGCATGCTGAACTATTAGCAAATTCTAGTGCTGTCATTTTCTTTTTCCAGTTCAAATACATGTCAATGTGGATTACTAGAAATTTTACAGATTGAACAGAGTCAATAGTTGTTATCAAGAAGTTACTACTGCTCATCTTCTGTTTTATTTCTGTATTCTCTTGTAACATCCACGGACAATATGTGGCGATAGATATCTCTAAAACAACACTACACCGTAAAAAAAAAACAAAGAAACATTTTTATTAATATCCGTCGTTTCTCAACCTCGAACCGAAGCTAAATTATACATTCGTATCTTCTTATGTTAATTTAGACTAATTTCCATTTATATTGAAATGAAATTGCTTATGACTTATATAGCAATTTCGTTGATGTAAAGATGTCATAAGATGGTTTTATGTTATTTAACGTGTTCTTGTCTTTTTAAGTACGTGCTTTGTTGGCTGGTCAGTGTTTGAGAAATAGTACTGTGTGAGTGTACCATATGTTTTATTGATAGGTTTAATTTTATTTAACGTGATGTTTATGATTTTGTTTATGCTTTGCAGTGCTGTTCCGCTGGGCAGCATTTAAGAAATCACCAAACACCTCATAAAAACTTGAAAATTGGTGTGTACAAATGCTATAAGACGACTTTGTGGTATTTAATGTGTTGTATTTGATTATTTTATTTGCTTTGCAGTGCGTTTTTCAGCTGAGCAGCATTTGATAAATTACCATACATATCCTAAAAAGTTGAAAACTAGAGTGTAGAACTCTGCGACTTGACCGTTCTCTGCTTACTCATAGGCACGGTCACTCAGCAGTCGATGGTCATGTTCGGAGTTTCTCTGCGTGATTAAATCTGTAACGAGGATATCCGCTTAACGTGGGAAATATCCGCCCTAAATTATTTAATAATAATAATAATAAAAAGGCGTAGGGAAGTGACGACCCCATCGCCCGCTGATATAACGGTTATGTGACAAAACCGCTACGTCGGCGCAGTCAGTCAGCACCTTGCCAAGAGGTGTTAGTGCCGTGCCTCGGCAAAAATTGAAGGTGCCATGGCCCGCTTGTGCACATGGCCTAACCATGAAACGGCGCCGGGCCTGGGCGTCTCCCGCTAAATGACGCCCTAAAATGGATGATGGAATCAAATGGAACGCGCAAAGGGCCGCTGCCTGGAGATCGCCAGGGCGCGTCTGGAGCTGGCGCTGGACGCGACAGCATGCGAACCGCCAGCCGAGCGCGAGGTGCTGCACGACCACCCAGCAGATCCTCGCATCCATCATCCCCACCAGCTGGCTTGGTGTCGGCAGGGTCTTCGCGGGCTCAGCAATCGGCACCCGCCACTGGTGGAGTACGCCGCATGCGTTGGACAACCCAGATGAACAGCAACGCATTGCGGGCGTATTTTAGGGTGAAAGGGGGGAGAAACTGGAGGTTTTGCGAATCGGGCAAGGATGCATCGACTTTTTGCTGAGCTGGAGCCATCTGTAACCGTCACCGAGCAAAACCTGGCAGACCGAGTTCGGTATATCTTGCGCTCAAATACATTTGATGTCACCGAACTCGAACGGCTACGACGTGAGGCTGTTCCTTCATCGGGTGAAAATGCTGCGGCTGAGGATGCGGCGCCACAACTTGCTGAGCAAACGGCAAATGTGGATGCAGCCGTGAATACGCCAGTTGTGGTTGATTCAAACGATGATGGAACAGTCGCCCAGGAACTGGAACTAGAGCAAATGAGGAGTACATTGGAAGAGGCGATTGTAGAAACGCGCAGTACGACTCTCGAAAATCGACCGCGACTTCCCCGCTTAGCCCTAAGCAAGCGGAATCGGGCTGTCGTGAGGGCTCTGAACCCAATGCTGGTTACCTATTTGGAAGCCAGCCGGGACCTTTGCGATACGGACTCAATTCTTTTTTGGCGCCGCACTGGCAGTCTGCCGTATTATAAGTGCCAAACTTTCCACGGCTGGACGCGCTACTGGACAAAGTAGTGCTACCCCAGCCTGGAGAATAAGAATTGAAGAACGTATCGCAAAGGCTAGGGCCCTCATCGGCAGACTGATATGCTTCAGGTCAGGCAATACCAGGCCAAGGATTGTGCGCACCGTCAGGATGGCGTTTGCTGGGACAAATGTTAGTTTGTCCCAGCCGGATATAATGCAAAAACTGATGGAGCGCATAGACGACCTGAAGCAAAGAATAGCTGCTTAGGGGAAAACGGATTCGGCGATATACCGAGAGGTCGACACGGTTCAACCAGAATCGTCTCTTCCAGAGTGATCAGAAGAGGCTCTATAAATCATTGGAGCGACCAATAGTAAGTGGAACGGGCCCTGCTCCAAATCAGGCCGACATGGTCGCATTCTGGCGCAGCCTGTGGTCAGAGCCCGTAAACCACAACGAGGGCCCTTGGACGGTAGTTGTGGCGAGTCAGTGTGCGAGTATTACGCCCATGGACCCCGTCATCATAACGCCGGATGACGTAGCTGAGGCGGTCCGTAGGGCCCCGAACTGGAAAAGTCCGGGGCTTGACGGGCTGCATCACTACTGGCTGAAGGGGTTCATGGTGTGTCACTCTGTGCTCGCCCGACAGTTTCAAGAGGCTCTCAACCAGAAGTCGCTCCCAAGCCTCTTCACTACTGGGATCACTCATTTGGTTCCTAAAGATCAGGGTGCCACAGACCCGAGCAAATACCGCCCCATCACGTGTCTACCGACCATATACAAGACACTAACATCCATTTTGAGCGCGAGAATCACTTGTTACCTGGACTCCAATCAGGTGATGTCGCGCGCTCAAAATGGATGTCGGGGCGGCGGTCGTGGAACCAAGGAACCACTCCTCATTGACGCGGTCATTGGCAAAGTGGTAAAACGCAACCGTCGGAACTTCTCCGCCGCCTGGATAGATTACAGAAAGGCATTTGACTCGGTGCCCCATACATGGCTAAAGAGGGTCCTCTAGCTGTACAAGATTGACTGTACAGTTCGAGACTTCCTCGAGCAGTGTATGGGGCAGTGGAGTACGATCCTCTGTCATCTAGACGAGCGGATGACGGCTGCGGAAAGCCGCATAAGGATAAGAAGGGGTATATTCCAGGGCGACTGTTTGAGTCCAATCTGGTTCTGCCTCTCTCTGAACCCTCTCAGTACCTTACTGGAGGGCTCCGGGAGGGGATTTCAGGTTCGGAAAGGAGGTACAAAAGTGACCCACCTTTTTCTATATGGATGACCTCAAATTATTCGCATCCAGTCGCTCCCATCTTATGGAATTGCTAAACATCACGTGTGAATTTAGCAATTTTATTAGAATGGAGCTGGGGACGGATAAGTGTGCGGTCCTCCATGTTGAAAGGGGAAGGGTTGCTAACTCTGAGGGCGTAGACTTATCTATGCCCATCAACTTAAGAACCCTTTCCGAGGCTGAAACATACCGATACCTGGGTATGTCACAGAACATCGGTATCAATGAGGCTGGTATGAAACAGTCAGTTTGCGACGTGTTTTATGCACGCTTGACCAAAGTGCTTAACAGCCTTTTGTCCGGTGTGAATAAGGCACACGCATATAACGGTTGGGTCATGCCTGTCCTCATGTATACCATTAGCATACTCAGGTGGACTCAGACTGAACTTAACGCCCTGGATAGAAAAGTCCGCACTACCATGACGTCCCATAGGATGAATCATCCGAGATCGTCGGTAATGAGGCTGTACTTGCCACGGAAGCATGGTGGTCGTGGCTTCTTGAGCGCGCTCACCATGCATATTCGCGAAGTATGCAGCCTCCGTGATTACTTCCTTGCGAGATCGGATGATCCATTTTATAAGGACGTCATTTCTTGTGATAAAGGACTTACCCCTCTATCCTTAGCCAACGAGCAATGGTAAGACCCGGCAGTGCAGAGCATTTCCGACCGGGAGACCGTATGGAAGGAGAAGGAGCTCCACGGGAGGTTCTACAAGGCTCTACATGAGCCTTTCGTAGACACAGTAGCCTCCCTCCACTGGCTACGCTTTGGTGATCTCTTCGGGGAAACCGAGGGTTTTGTCTGTGCAATACAGGATCAGGTTATTAAGACCAACAACTATCGGAGATACATCCTAAAGGATGGCACCGTCGATATCTGTCGAGCTTGTCGCCATCCCGGTGAGTCACTTAGGCATGTTATCTCCGGTTGTTCGGCGCTTTCTAACTCTGAGTACTTGCACAGGCACAACCTAGTAGCCAGAATTCTACACCAGGAGCTCGCTCTGAAATACGGTCTCGTGGATCGGAAATTGCCGTATTACAAGTACTTGCCGGAAGCCGTGCTCGAAAATGATCGCGCCAGGCTCTATTGGGACCGGGCCAACATCACAGACAGGACTATTCTTGCAAATAAGCCTGATATTGTGCTGATGAACCGGGCACAGTCAAGGATATTATTGGTCGACATTACCATTCCGTATGACGAGAACCTCGTGAAAGCCGAAACAGACAAGCAAACAAAATATCTGGACCTCGCTCACGAGGTGACCGACATGTGGGGTGGTCTGCCAACCGAAATTATTCCTGTAGTCGTCTCTGCAAACGGGCTAACCCAGTCAGCCTCTCGGGTCATCTGAGGCGGCTGGGACTACGTGGCGGACCGCTCCAGGTTCAAATGCAGAAGGCGGTGCTCCTTGATACTGCCCACATCGTCCGCCGGTTTCTTTCCCTTTCCCCCTAACCCTCGGCCGTTTGGTCTCCCCTGCCGAGGGCCTCCATCTGGTTGGGCTTTTACTTATTTATGTACTTTTATATTTATTTTATGCTATTGATATTTATGTATATTTATCTTTTTCATTTTCATTTATAATTATATATTTATAGAACCCAACCAGATGAGAAAACTATATAGATACCCCACATAATAATAATAAAAAGGCGTAGGGAATTGACGACCCCATCGCCCGCTGACGTAACAGTTAAGTGACAAAACTGCTACGTCAACGCAGTCAGTCAGCGCCTTGCGAGAGGTGTGAGCGCCGTGCCGCGGCAGAATTTAGGGTGCAGAGGCCCGTTTGTGCTTATGGCTACACACGAAACGGTGCCGGGCCTGGGCGTCTCCCGTTAATGGACGCCCAAATAATGGATGATGGATAAAAAGATATTGCGCAAAGGGCCGCTGCCTGGGGGTCGCCGGGGCGCGTCTGGAGCTGGCGCTGGACGCGGCAGCATGCGGGCCGCCAGCCGAGTGCGAGGAGCTGCACGGTCACCTACCAGCCCTCCGCATCCATCATCCCCACCAGAAGGCTTGGTGTCGGCTGGGTCTTCTCGGACTCAGCAAGCGGCACCCGCCGCTGGTGGAGCACGTCGCATGCGTTGGTCACAAGAAATGAATGCAAACGCACTGCGGGCGTACTTTAGGGCAAAAGGGGAAGAAACTGGATGTTTGGCGTATCGGGCTAGGATGCATCGTCTTTTTGCTGAGCTGGAGTCATCTTTAACCGTCACAGAGCAAAACCTGGCAGACCGAGTTCGGTATATCTTGACTCTTTAACTCGAACGGCTACGACGTAAGGCTGTTCCCTCGTCGGATGAGAATGCTACGGCTGAGGATGCGGCGCCACAAATGGTAGAGCAACCCGCAAACGTGGATGCCGCCGTGAATACCCCAGTTGTGTTTGATTCAAACGATGATGGAACAGTCGCTCAGGAACTGGAATTAGAGCATATGAGGAGTATATTGGAAGAGACAATTGTGGAAATGCGCAGTACGCCTCTCGAAAATCGACCGCGACTTCCCCGCATAGCCCTAAGCAAGCGGAATCGGGCTGTCGTGAGGGCTCTGAACCCAATGCTGGTTACCTATTTGGAAGCCAGCCGGGACCTTTGCAAGACGGACTCAATTCTTTTTGGCGCCGCGCTGGCAGTCTGCCGTATCATAGGCGCCAAGGTTTCCAAGGCTGGACGCGCTACTGGACATAGTAGCGCTATCCCAGCATGGAGAACAAGAATTGAGGAACGTATCGCAAAGGCTAGAGCTCTCATCGGCAGACTGATATGCTTCAGATCAGGCAACAACAGGCCAAGAATTGTGCGCACCGTCAGGATGGCGTTTGCTGGGAAAAATGTCAGTTTGTCCCAGCCGGATATAACGCAAAAACTGACGGAGCGCATAGATGATCTGAAGCAGAGAATCGTTGCTTGGGGAAAGCGGATTCGGCGATATACCGAGAGGTCGACACGGTTCAACCAGAATCGTCTCTTCCAGAGTGATCAGAAGAGGCTCTATGAATCATTGGAGCGACCAATGGTAAGTGAAACGGGTCCAGCACCGAATCAGGCCGACATTGTAGCATTCTGGCGCGGCCTGTGGTCAGAGCCCGTAAACCACAGCGAGGGCCCTTGGACGGAAGTTGTGGCGAGTCAATGTGCGGGTATTACCCCCATGGACCCCGTCATCATAACGCCGGATGACGTAGCTGAGGCGGTCCGTAGGGCCCCGAACTGGAAAAGTCCGGGGCTTGACGGGCTGCATCACTACTGGCTGAAGGGGTTCATGGCGTGTCACTCTGTGCTAGCCCGACAGTTTCAAGAGGCTCTCAACCAGAAGTCGCTTCCAAGCCTCTTCACTACTGGGATCACTCATTTGGTTCCTAAAGACCAGGGTACCACAGACCCGAGCAAATACCGCCCCACCACGTGTCTACCGACCATATACAAGACACTAACATCCATTTTGAGCGCGAGAATCACTTGTCACCTGGACTCCAATCAGGTGATGTCGCGCGCTCAAAATGGATGTCGAGTCGGTGGTCGTGGAACCAAGGAACCACTCCTCATTGACGCGGTCATTGGCAAAGTGGTGAAACGCAACCGTCGGAACTTCTCCGCCGCCTGGATAGACTACAGAAAGGCATTCGACTCGGAGCCCCATACATGGCTAGAGAGAGTCCTCGAGCTGTACAAGATAGACTGTACAGTTAGAGACTTCCTCGGGCAGTGCATGGGGCAGTGGAGTACG